GAGAGAGAGAGCGGAGAGAGAGATTATATGTGTGTGTTATTTATATCTATCTAGTATTCCTGGTTGTGTAATAGTCATGGGACTCGTCGTGATTTTGATTCATCAGATCTCTGCACAAACCAGTAAACACACACACACACACTCTTAGCTGGAACACTGGTAGCAGTCTTTCTTGTGGGTGATGTTTTGCTTGGTGTGTGTTATGCCATTTAAGCTGTGACGGGAGACGGGGTTAAACGTATTGGCACCCAGAGATTTTTTTTGTATTCCTCTACAATCTCTATGTTCTGACCTCTGATAGATGTTGCAGAAGTAGGTGTTGTACGCTTCCTGAAGTCTATGCACATCTCTTGGGTCTTGTTGGTATTACTGACACTGCTTGGATCATGAGTGGTGATCTAAAGCTAGTACAGAGTGAGGGGTAGAGTCTTTTCAATGCATTTGGAAACTATTCAGACCCCTTGACTTTTTCCACATTTTGTTACGTTACAGCCTTATTCTAAAAATTGCTTTTTTCCCCCCCTCATCAATCTACACACAATACCACATAATGACAAAGCAAAAACTGTTTTTTAGAATTTTTTTGCAATATTATTCAAAATAAAAAATGGAAATATCACATTACATAAGTATTCAGACCCTTTACTCAGTACTTTGTTGAAGCGCCTTTGGCAGCGAATACAGCCTCGAGTCTTCTTGGATATGACACTACATGCTTGGCACACCTGTATTTGGGGAGTTTCTCCCATTCTTCTCTGCAGACCCTCTCAAGCTCTGTCAGGTTGGATGGGGAGCGTCGCTGCACAGCTATTTTCAGGTCTCTCCAGAGATGTTCGATCGGGTTCAAGTCCGGGCTCTGGTTGGGCCACTCAAGGACATTCAGAGACTTGTCCCGAAGCCACTCCTGCGTTATGTTGGTTGTGTGCTTAGGGTCGTTGTCCTGTTGTAAGGTGAACCTTCGCCCCAGTCTGAGGTCCTGAGCGCTCCGGAGCGCTGAAAAACATCCCCACAGCATGATGCTCACACCATGCTTCACCGGATGGTGCCAGGTTTCCTCCAGAAGTGATGCTTGGCATTCATGCCAAAGAGTTCAATCTTGGTTTCATCAGACCAGAGAATCTTGTTTCTCATGGTCTGAGAGTCCTTTAGGTGCCTTTTGGCAAACTCCAAGTGGGCTTTCATGTGCCTTTTACTGAGGAGTTGCTTCCATCTGGCCACTCTACCATAAAGGCCTGATTGGTGGAGTGCTGCAGAGATGGTTGACCTTCTAGAAGGTTCTCCCATCTCCACAGAGGAACTCTGGAGCTCTGTCAGAGTGACCATCGGGTTCTTGGTCACCTCCCTGACCAAGGCCCTTCTCCCCCGATTGCTCAGTTTGGCCGGGCGTCCAGCTCTAGGAAGAATGTTGGTGGTTCCAAACGTCTTCCATTTAAGAATGATGGAGGCCACTGTGTTCTTGGGGACCTTCAATGCTGCAGAAATGTTTTGGTACCCTTCCCCAGATCTGTGCCTCGCCACAATCCTGTCTCGGAGCTCTACGGACAATTCCTTCGACCTCATGGCTTGGTTTTTGCTCTGACATGCACTGTCAACTGTGGGACCTTATATAGACAGGTGTGTGGCCTTTCCAAATCATGTCCAATCAATTGCATTTACCACAGGTGAACTCCAATCAAGTTTTAGAAACATTTCAAGGATGATCAATGGAAACAGGAGGCACCTGAGCTCAATTTCGAGTCTCATAGCAAAGGGTCTGAATACTTTTTTGTTGTTGTTTGCAAAAATATCTAAAAACCTGTTTTTGCTTTGTCTTTATGTGGTATTGTGTGTAGATTGGAGAGGACTTTTTTTATTTTCTTCTATTTTCAGTGTCCCTATATCTCCCTCTGGGGACAGTGTCCCTATATCTCCCTCTGGGGGCAGTGTCCCTATATCTTCCTCTGGGGACAGTGTCCCTATATCTCCCTCTAGTGGCAGAGTCTCCTCCTTCCTCTCTACTGACCATGTCTCTCCTGTCCCCCTCAGAGGGCTCTTCTGACTCTGTCTCTCTCTCCTGTCCGTCTCTCAGAGTCCTCTCCTGCCCAGGTCCCTAACCTGTCTCCCTCTCCCTGTCCCTGTCCACTAACCATGTCTCTCTCTCTCTTCCTCAGAGCCCTCCCCGGCAGTGGACCTTGGTCCTACCTTGGGTTTGAAGAAGTCCAGTTCTCTGGAGAGTCTGCAGACGGCCATGTCAGAGGTCAGGAAGAATGAGCTCCTCCCCTTTCACAGGCCACGCCCCCACATGGTCAGGGGGAGGGGCTGCAACGAGAGCTTCAGAGCGGCCATTGACAAATCCTACGACGGACCAGCTGATGAGGATGATGGTGAGATATCAGAGAGAGACACACTCCATCTCACTCACCAACCCTCCAACCTTCCAGCACTTAACATGTCCTAATGAGTGAAGACATGATGCAGAAGTTATGTATATGTGCCCTCTGTCCACAGGATGAGGAGGAAGGAGAGAATCTATGGGATAGCTACAAAGAAGTTATAATATGCTGTCCTAACATTCAAATCCCTTACGAAAAAATGTTGTGCTCAGAATGCAGTAAAACTGCAGTACACTGCAGTACACTGCAAATTCTGCATCCAAAATACCACAGTTGTACTGAAGCTTCAAAACTGAAATATTGTTTTTGTAAGTGATGTTACCAAGGTGACAATGTCCACTGAACCCCCTTTCATCCTCAAAATAGTCAGAATTAATCTTACAAAAACTAATACATCTGTAGCTAATATTGACATTGTTTTCATGATCAAGTTTTACATCTAGCTAAGATGTTTTGTGGTGGTAGAACCAGTATTTATGACATTTGAAATGCGCACGAAAAATGTAGTGTCTGCTTGCTGGCTGAACCGGTCTCAGATCAATCCAAATGAAACGAAAGGCAGGGATACTAACAATGCCAGTTCACACACTCAATGCTGAATATTCCCTCTAGTTCACTCGCTCGCTCGCTAGCTAGCTAATGTAGTGAAATTGTGGCTAATGCACAAATGTGTTTTCATGATATCTGTTCTGCCGTGATTAGTGCACCAGGTCCTACAGCACAGCTGACTGCTCTCTGCGACGTTATCGTGTTGGCCGAATCTTACCAAGTAGCGAAGCACCGTGGGCCAGCTGTCAGAGTCGGATGCCTGCTGATTTCTGAGATCAGTCCCATAATGTTGGTGCCATACAACTTTCATCAACAAGCTGGTAAACTAGCTACCATATGGCCATTCAAAATGCATTGAATCAAACAAGCTAGCACTAGGCTGCTAGCTGGACTAAGTTTGACCGAGCATGGTTTGCCTTAGTAGCGACTGCTTCATAGCTAACGAGAGCGGAGTGATTTTCAGAATTAGCAACTAGTTTCTGAGTAGAGTTCCGCATCCAACAAGACAGATCGTTTCAGGGACGAGCATCGCGTAGGAGTGAAGCCATCTGACATGAGACAAAGGCCAAAACCCAACATGAGTAGCAAACTTCCTTGGCCAGTAGAACGCTGATCAGATCACTCCTACTACTTCAGACAGACTAACAGTTGGTCCAACTTCCCTTGGCAACCAGTTAAATCCTCACACAAATAATGGCTTAAGTCATTTAATGTTCTGCCGATTGATTTTTGTCTTCCTTTTTGGGAGGGAGGGGGAGAGGGAGGGATGGAGGGAGGGAGGGGGGGAGGGATGGAGGGAGGGAGGGGGAGAGGGAGGGAGGGAGGGAGGGAGAGGGAGGGAGGGAAGGAGGGATGGGGAGGGGGAGAGGGAGGGGGAGAGGGAGGGAGGGGGAGAGGGAGGAGGGGAGGGATGGGGAGAGAGAGCGAGAGAGAGAGAGAGAGAGAGAGAGAGAGAGAGAGAGAGAGAGAGAGAGAGAGAGAGAGAGAGAGAGAGAGGCTGGCTGGCCTTTATTCACCTCTATCCACTGTCTCTATGAGGTCTGTCTGGCTGTCACCCTGTCTCTCTGAGTCTCTATGAGGTCTGCCTGGCTGTCACCCTGTCTCTCTGAGTCTCTATGAGGTCTGCCTGGCTGTCACCCTGTCTCTGAGTCTCTATGAGGTCTGCCTGGCTGTCTCCCTGTCTCTCTGAGTCTCTATGAGGTCTGCCTGGCTGTCTCCCTGTCTCTCTGAGTCTCTATGAGGTCTGCCTGGCTGTCACCCTGTCTCTCTGAGTCTCTATGAGGTCTGCCTGGCTGTCACCCTGTCTCTGAGTCTCTATGAGGTCTGCCTGGCTGTCACCCTGTCTCTGAGTCTCTATGAGGTCTGCCTTGCTGTCTCACGGTGGGCATGTCATTCCTCTCCGTGTTTCATTCATGCTTCATCCATACCATCCATACCACAGCTCTAGACCACCATGTAACATAGAATATACTCTCTATTCTCTCCTCCCAACTGTGGAAAATCAGGTCATAAATAAATAACTTCACACTCATTCTCTCTCTCTCTCTCTCTCTCTCTCTCTCTCTGGCATGCTCCTATTGGTCTTTGTTGTGGTAGTTTGTTGCTTGGTGAAATAGCTAGCTGGGGTTTTAAAGCTAAACAGAAGCCTAGCGTCTGAATGAGAGAGATAACTCCATACATTCAGCCCAAACTCATTCCCTGTAGGGCAGTCGTGTTAAAACACACCATGTTTCAGGACAGACAAACCCCACTCCTCTGCTAACGCTCTGCCTCTCTCTCCCCATGGCACACATTCATTCCAGCAGAAGTTAGAGAAGTGAATTGATATTGGCATGGCTGTGATGTCTTTAAAGCTGGTATTATTCATCAGCACAGTAGATCCTCAGAGGGCCGTTCAGAGAAAGAGACACTCTAATATGCATCATGCTTTTGTTCAACACACGCCGCAGCTCAACGTAAATTAATCTTGAGGACACAAAGCCTGGAGAGGAGAGGGGAGGGGGAGGAGATGAGAGGGGGGAGGAGATGAGAGGGGAGAGGAGATGAGAGGGGAGGGGGAGGAGAGGGGAGGGGGAGGAGATGAGAGGGGAGGGGGAGGAGAGGGGAGGGGGAGGAGATGAGAGGGGAGAGGAGATGGGAGAGGAGATGGGAGAGGAGAGGAGAGGAGAGGAGAGGAGAGGAGAGGAGAGGAGAGGAGAGGAGAGGAGAGGAGAGGAGAGGAGAGGAGAGGAGAGGAGAGCTCCTATCACTACCCTCCTGACAACCTGTACAGTGCTAACTGTGATTTTCAACTAGTGTTAGACGGATGAGCACACACACACACACACACACACACAACCATACACACACACACAGGAGTACACCACATCAGTCACTGGCTTCATCAATAAGTGCATCGATGATGTCGTCCCCACAGTGACCGTACGTACATACCCCAACCAGAAGCCATGGACTACAGGAAATATCCGCACTGAGCTAAAGGGTAGAACTGCCGCTTTCAAGGAACGGGACTCTAACCCGGACGCTTATAAGGAATCCCGCTATGCCCTCCGACGAACCATCAAACAGGCAAAGAGTCAATACAGGAATAAGATTGAATCGTACTACACTGGCTCTGACGCTCGTCGGATGTGGCAGGGCTTGAAAACTATTACAGACTACAAAGGGAAGCACAGCCGCGAGCTGCCCAGTGACACAAGCCTACCAGACGAGCTAAACCACTTCTATGCTCGCTTCGAGGCAAGCAACACTGAAGCATGCATGAGAGCACCAGCTGTTCCGGATGACTATGTGATCACGCTCTCCGTAGCCGATGTGAGTAAGACTTTTAAGCAGGTCAACATTCACAAGGCCGCAGGGCCAGACGGATTACCAGGACGTGTACTCCGAGCATGTGCTGACCAACTGGCAAGTGTCTTCACTGACATTTTCAACATGTCCCTGACTGAGTCTGTAATACCAACATGTTTCAAGCAGACCACCATAGTCCCCGTGCCCAAGGACTCTAAGATAACCTGCATAAATGACTACCGACCCGTAGCACTGACGTCTGTAGCCATGAAGTGCTTTGAAAGGCTGGTCATGGCTCACATCAACAGCATTATCCCAGAAACCCTAGACCCACTCCAATTTGCATACCGCCCCAACAGATCCACAGATGATGCAATCTCTATTGCACTCCACACTGCCCTTTCCCACCTGGACAAGAGGAACACCTACGTGAGAATGCTATTCATTGACTACAGCTCAGCATTCAACACCATAGTGCCCTCTAAGCTCATCACTAAGCTAAGGATCCTGGGACTAAACACCTCCCTCTGCAACTGGATGCTGGACTTCCTGACGGGCCGCCCCCAGGTGGTAAGGGTAGGTAACAACACATCTGCCATGCTGATCCTCAACACGGGGGCCCCTCAGGGGTGCGTGCTCAGTCCCCTCCTGTACTCTCTGTTCACCCATGACTGCATGGCCAGGCACGACTCCAACACCATCATTAAGTTTGCCGACGACACAACAGTGGTAGGCCTGATCACCGACAACGATGAGACAGCCTATAGGGAGGAGGTCAGAGACCTGGCCGTGTGGTGCCAGGACAACAACCTCTCCCTCAACGTGACCAAGACAAAGGAGATGATTGTGGACTACAGGAAAAAAAAGAGGACTGAGCACGCCCCCATTCTCATCGACGGGGCTGTAGTGGAACAGGTTGAGAGCTTCAAGTTCCTTGGTGTCCACATCACCAACGAACTATCATGGTCCAAACACACCAAGACAGTCGTGAAGAGGGCACGACAAAGCCTATTCCCCTTCAGGAGACTGAAAAGATTTGGCATGGGTCCTCAGATCCTCAAAAAATTCTACAGCTGCACCATCGAGAGCATCTTGACTGGTTACATCACCGCCTGGTATGGCAACTGCTTGGCCTCCGACCGCAAGGCACTACAGAGGGTAGTGCGTACGGCCCAGTACATCACTGGGGCCAAGCTTCCTGCCATCCAGGACCTCTATATCAGGCGGTGTCAGAGGAAGGCCCTCAAAATTGTCAAAGACTCCAGCCACCCTAGTCATAGACTGTTCTCTCTGCTTCCGCACGGCAAGCGGTACCGGAGTGCCAAGTCTAGGTCCAAAAGACTTCTCAACAGCTTCTACCCCCAAGCCATAAGACTCCTGAACAGCTAATCATGGCTACCCGGACTATTTGCACTGCCCCCCCACCCCATCCTTTTTACGCTGCTGCTACTCTGTTAATTATTTATGCATAGTCACTTTAACTCTACCCACATGTACATATTACCTCAACTACCTCAACTAGCCGGTGCCCCCGCACATTGACTCTGCACCGGTACCCCCCTGTATATATAGCCTCCCTACTGTCACTTTATTTTACTGTATATATAGCCTCCCTACTGTCACTTTATTTTACTTCTGCTCTTTTTTTTCTCAACACTTTTTTTGTTGTTGTTTTATTTTTACTTTTTTTGTTAAAAATAAATGCACTGTTGGTTAAGGGCTGTAAGTAAGCATTTCACTGTAATGTCTGCACCTGTTGTATTCTACGCATGTGACCAATACAATTTGATTTGATTTGATTTGACACACACACACACATACACACAACCATACACACCACCACACACACACACACACACACACACACACACACACACACACACACACACACACACACGCACGCACGCACGCACGCACACACACACACACACAGAGCACTAGACAGGGACATGCCAATATGATGGGTGATAGGACACATCCCTGTTTACACAGTCACACACATCCCTGTATACCCCCCCCCCCCCCTCCCACCACCACCTAGGCATGGGGGAGTGGTCTCTCTTTACTGCTGAACTGACAGCGAGTGTGTTGCTATATTGTGTTACAATTGGGCGTTAACTCCTCTGTCTCTCCCCTCCAGATGACCTGTCAGACCAGAGTTCGGGACGGGACACCCCTGCCAGCAGCTCCTCTCGCCAGGGAGTGGGGGAAGTGATGGAGGAGGGCAAAGACAAGCAAGACAAGAAGAAGAAGCAGACCAAAGGAAAGGAGAAGGAGAAGCAGACCAAAAGGAAAGGAAAGGAGAAGCAGACCAAGAAGAAAGGATTCGGTTTACTGAGGTGAGGCTACACCAGCTATACACCGGCTATACACCGGCTATACACCGGCTATACACCGGCTATACACCGGATATACACCGGATATACACCGGCTATACACCGGCTATACACCGGCTATACACCGGCTATACACCGGATATACACCGGCTATACACCGGCTATACACCGGCTATACACCGGCTATACACCGGCTATACACCGGCTATACACCGGCTATACACCGGCTATACACCGGCTATACACCGGCTATATACCAGCTTCTGAACATAGACTATGACCTGGCGTTGTTGTAATGTGATGTTAATGGTATGTGTGATGGTGACTGAAGTGAAGGCATGCCCTGGGCATGGGCTCAGGTCCCAGTCTGTGATCTCTAGCTGTCCAGAGAGTGTAGTGTTGTACTGAGGCCAGGACTGAAGGAGTGTGTGACCCGGTGTGAAATGATGCAGGCAACGTGTGTGTGTGTGTGTGTGTGTGTGTGTGTGTGTGTCTGTGTGTCTGTGTGCAAGTGTCCATGTGTGTGTGTGTGGTGTTAAACGGTGCGGGCACCAGGCCTCCCTCTATATGGTCCAGTCCTCTCTGTGTCACTGTGCCAGTCCTCTCTGTGTCACTGTGCCAGTCCCCTCTGTGTCACTGTGCCAGTCCTCTCTGTGTCACTGTGCCAGTCCTCTCTGTGTCACTGTGCCAGTCCTCTCTTTGTCACTGTGCCAGTCCTCTCCGTGTCACTGTGCCAGTCCTCTCTGTGTCACTGTGCCAGTCCCCTCTGTGTCACTGTGCCAGTCCTCTCTGTGTCACTGTGCCAGTCCTCTCTGTGTCACTGTGCCAGTCCTCTCTGCAGCGCTGTATGGTGTTGGGGTGGTTATATATATGTCACCTCCAGGGTGGTTATATATATGTCACCTTCAGGGTGGTTATTCAGTGGGGGAAAAAAGTATTTAGTCAGCCACCAATTGTGCAAGTTCTCCCACTTAAAAAGATGAGAGAGGCCTGTAATTTTCATCATAGGTACACGTCAACTATGACAGACAAATTGAGAAAAAAAAATCCAGAAAATCACATTGTAGGATTTTTAATGAATTTATTTGCAAATTATGGTGGAAAATAAGTATTTGGTCACCTACAAACAAGCAAGATTTCTGGCTCTCACAGACCTGTAACTTCTTCTTTAAGAGGCTCCCCTGTATCCCCTGTACTCGTTACCTGTATTAATGGCACCTGTTTGAACTTGTTATCAGTATAAAAGACACCTGTCCACAACCTCAAACAGTCACACTCCAAACTCCACTATGGCCAAGACCAAAGAGCTGTCAAAGGACACCAGAAACAAAATTGTAGACCTGCACCAGGCTGGGAAGACTGAATCTGCAATAGGTAAGCAGCTTGGTTTGAAGAAATCAACTGTGGGAGCAATTATTAGGAAATGGAAGACATACAAGACCACTGATAATCTCCCTCGATCTGGGACTCCACGCAAGATCTCACCCTGTGGGGTCAAAATGATCACAAGAACGGTGAGCAGAAATCCCAGAATCCCAGACCTAGTGAATGACCTGCAGAGAGCTGGGACCAAAGTAACAAAGTCTACCATCAGTAACACATAGGGGTGTAACGATCCATCTACTACATCGATGTATCGATTTATATTCCTATGATCCAACTACATCGATCTGTGCTCGGCGAGTTGGCCTTTTGGACAACATATATCAATCTAACATCGTTTTAAAATGTAATAAATCGATTGTATCGATACTAGGAAATAACCCATTGGATTTAAGAACGTCAGACTTTATATGGATGTTTTTTCTTAGCACTTTTAATGATAAAGGCTTTAAACATTACTCGATTCAGTCTGCCTATCCGTGACGTCATCGCCCCGCGCCAGCAGCAGCGCAAAGGCGCAAAGACAACAAAACATAGCATGGCGGACGAGAGAGGAGAAGCAGACGAGCGAGAAATTATCAAGCCACCATTGCGGTCCTTACAAGAAACAGGAATCTAGGAAACTTTACCTGCACTGTCCAGTATCCATGTATTTATTTCAGTCACACTGGTTGAATTTTTGGCTAAAAGGTTACTGAATCGATTTCAAGTCACTGAATCGTTTCGGATCGTATCGTTCTAAATGAACCAATATCGTCCTTGAATCGTATCACAACCACGAATCGTGATACAAATCGAATTGTTGTTAAAACAAATCATTACACCCCTAGTAACACACTATGCCGCCAGGGACTCAAATCCTGCAGTGCCAGACGTGTCCCCCTGCTTAAGCCAGTACATGTCCAGGCCCGTCTGAAGTTTGCTAGAGTGCATTTGGATGATCCAGAAGAGGATTGGGAGAATGTCATATGGTCAGATGAAACCAAAATATAACTTTTTGGTAAAAACTCAACTCGTCGTGTTTGGAGGACAAAGAATGCTGAGTTGCATCCAAAGAACACCATACCTACTGTGAAGCATGGGGGTGGAAACATCATGCTTTGGGGCTGTTTTTCTGCAAAGGGACCAGGACGACTGATCCGTGTAAAGGAAAGAATGAATGGGGCCATGTATCGTGAGATTTTGAGTGAAAACCTCCTTCCATCAGCAAGGGCATTGAAGATGAAACGTGGCTGGGTCTTTCAGCATGACAATGATCCCAAACACACCGCCCGGGCAACGAAGGAGTGGCTTCGTAAGAAGCATTTCAAGGTCCTGGAGTGGCCTAGCCAGTCTCCAGATCTCAACCCCATAGAAAATCTTTGGAGGGAGTTGAAAGTCTGTGTTGCCCAGCGACAGCCCCAAAACATCACTGCTCTAGAGGAGATCTGCATGGAGGAATGGGCCAAAAATACCAGCAACAGTGTGTGAAAACCTTGTGAAGACTTACAGAAAACGTTTGACCTGTGTCATTGCCAACAAACGGTATATAACAAAGTATTGAGAAACTTTTGTTATTGACCAAATACTTATTTTCCACCATAATTTGCAAATAAATTCATTAAAAATCCTACAATGTGATTTTCTGGATATTTTTTTCTCATTTTGTCTGTCATAGCTGACGTGTACCTATGATGAAAATTACAGTTCTGTCTCATCTTTTTAAGTGGGAGAACTTGCACAATTGGTGGCTGACTAAATACATTTTTTCCCCCACTGTATATATGTCACCTCCAGGGTGGTTATATCTGTCACCTCCAGGGTGGTTATATCTTGTCACCTCCAGGGTGGTTATATATGTCACCTCCAGGGTGGTTATATATCTGTCACCTCCAGGGTGGTTATATATCTGTCACCTCCAGGGTGGTTATATATCTGTCACCTCCAGGGTGGTTATATCTGTCACCTCCAGGGTGGTTATATCTGTCACCTCCAGGGTGGTTATATCTGTCACCTCCAGGGTGGTTATATATCTGTCACCTCCAGGGTTCTACATTTACTTTTCCCACCGTTGACACTGATCCTATAAACTGTTTCAGCTGATGGCCCCAGCAAGTGATTTGGTCTCACCAATAAAATTACATAAACGAGGTGTATAATTTATAATCACTTGGCCTGTGTCTCATAATGTACCTGCATTCCATACAGAACCAGGCTAATAATGACTAGCCGTCTTCTAAATTAGCATGACCTTGTGTTCTTACATTCATTTGGATAGATTTACTGTAACAGCAAAGAAGAGAAAAATACAAAATGTGTAATATTTATTGCAGATGTCAAAGTGCCATGTTTTTTTTTCTGTGAAATCCTCTAGAGGAAAAAAATATATAAATAAAAATATATATATATGAAGAACAAGAAATAATTTTTTATTATTTTTTGTGTAGTCACCCTTTAATTCAGGTTTGCACCAGCCAGACAGTTTGTGTTCCTGTAGCTCACTTGTGATGGATTATCATATATAAAAAAAAAAATATTAATTTTTTTTAAACAAATGACCGGCCACTGGATTGATGCAAATAATTGTAGTTAGCTTTTAATTGCCTTTCCATCTACCTGAAGACAGTTAGGCTATCATTAGCATTGCTAACGGATACTCAAAGTGGTAGACACATAGGCCCCTACGTTCACCGCACGCAGCAGGGCTCGACATTCAGGTACATTTGCCAGTTTCTCACCGGGCCAGTTTCTCACCGGGCCAGTTTCTCACCGGGCCAGTGCCAACTGAAAGCTACTGGACTGAAAGAAAAACATACTGGTCCGGGTCAAGATCTGACAGGAAAGTGAATGATGTGTGCATAATTTCAATAGCAGGTGATTTTATCTTTCATTAGCGGGCTGAGTCATTTTTGCAAATGTATTATAAATGAAAAAAACTGATACCTTATTTACATAAGTATTCAGACCCTTTGCTATGAGACTCGAAATTGAGCTCAGGTGCATCCTGTTTCCATTGATCATCATTGAGATGTTTCTACAACTTCATTGGGATCCACCTGTGGTAAATTCAATTGATTGGACATGATTTGGAAAGGCACACACCTGTTTATATAAGGTCCCGCAGTTGACACTGTATGTCAGAGCAAAAACCAAGCCATGAGGTCGAAGGAATTGTCCGTAGAGCTCTGAGACAGGATTGTGTCGAGGCACAGATCTGGGGAAGGGTACCAAAAAATGTCTGCAGCATTGAAGGTTCCCAAGAACACAGTGGCCTCCTTCATTCTTAAATGGAAGAAGTTTGGAACCACCAAGACTCTTCCTAGAGCTGGCCGCCCGGCCAAACTGAGCAATCTGGGGAGAAGGGCCTTGGTCAGGGAGGTGACCAAGAACCCGATGGTCACTCTGACAGAGCTCCAGAGTTCCTCTGTGGAGATGGGAAAACCTTCCAGAAGGACAACCATCTCTGCAGCACTCCCCCAATCAGGCCTTTATGGTAGAGTGGCGGATTCCACTCGTCAGTAAAAGGCACATGACAGCCCGCTTGGAGTTTGCCAAAGGGCACCTAAACGACTCTCAGACCATGAGAAACAAGATTATCTGTTTATCATTATCATTAGCTCCGGCTCTTGCTGGGTCTCCTGAAGT